TATGAGCCCCTAATAAAATGTTAAAAAAAAAAAAAAAAGAATTTCTAAGCCTGTAAATCCTTACAGAAACAGACTGTCTCCGCTTTCTCCTGAGGATAGCTGGGTTCAAACTGCCAACATCTTGGTTAGTAGCCCAATGTTTAACTTACTCTATCACCAGGCTCCTTAGTACCTGCAAATCTCCTTATCTACATATGTACCTATCTATCTTATATACATGCATATATATACCTATACAGCTACTTATCTCTGTATGGGGGAAAAATACAACCAAAAAACCCAAACTCACTGCCAAATCAAGCCTGTAACTCTTTACAGGAGTAGAAAGCCTCATCTTTCCCCTGTGGAACAGCTGGTGGTTTCAAACTGTTAGCCTTGTGGTTAAGAGCCCAACATGTAATCCACTATGCCATCAGGGTCTAGTGAAAAAATAAACCTACTAAATGGGGTAAAATATTAAAAAGTGGTGAATCCAGCTGAAAAATACATGAGTGCTAATGGTCTTCTTCAAACTGAAAAAAAAAAGTGAGGAAGCAACAGTTATGCAGTAAAGTGAAACTAGGGGAAGGGACAAGAAATCAGGGTGTGGGTTCACAACTGCAGGCTCTAAGGGTTAGCTGTTGGGAGGTGCCTCCAGAAGCTCGCACAGGCCAGGCTCCATGGAGGTTCCAAGCAGCAGAACCCAGCAGACAGACCCTGGGCACCTCCCTTCAGGTTACCGACAGCCCCGGCGCTGTACCTCATTCCGAATTTCTCCAGTGCCTGCCTACCAGAGGCATGGTAATTCACTGATTGATGCGTGCACTTTAAAACTCCATGACTCCCACCATGTCCTTCGTCCATCTCACTCTCCACTGATTTGTTTTCTATGCCCTGCTCCTCTACTCCCTGCCACGAGCAACCTCACAGCAAAAAGTGTCTGAAGTCGGTGAAGCGCACCAACGCCGATTCTGCCAAAGTACTTGCTATCAACCTAATTAAGACAGGGTCCCCTGGGTTTTACACTGGTCTCAAGTCAGCACACCTCAAGTCCATGCGGACACCAAGATAAGAATAAACACGTGAATACAAGGAAACCTCAGTTTTTTACAAGAAGGAAAGGAAGGAAAGACGATGAAGCAGGGTTCATTAGGATTAGGAGGCCTAAGTGATGTTACAGCTTCTTCTGCTCCAAGGAATTCTGATTACTGACTCTAAAAAGAATAGCCTTCCGGAAGGTCGCAAGCAATGGGTACAATTCTCATGATAAAATGCTGTTTTAAAACTTTCATTACGATTGTAGTTACTTCACACTAAACTTTGTGCTTGTTTTGAATAAAGGTCAATTATACCCAAATCTGAATACCTGATGTAATGAAAGTGTGTAATGTTTTCCTTTAAAATTTTTCCAGATGAACTCCGTAACATGATTTTATTAGTCTTAATAATAATAATAATAATAATAATAATAATAATAATAAAAAGCTTGAAACAAAAATGGAATTCCTTCCAAGATGCTCTTCATTGGAACATCTCAGAGCCAAACGTGGAGGAGCTAAGCAGTCAGGTCTCGCTTGCCTCTTCACAGCCCAACATCCGAAGTGCTCTAGACACGAAACCGAGAGCTCCTCGCCTCCCAGTGATGGACGCGAGGCCGCCTGCTCACCCCATCTCACCGCCTGTGGATGTGAAGACCTGCGTGAATACATGATTCACATCGGAAACCAATGGCCTGTTTTGTAGAGAATACTGGCAAAGAGAATTCCCAAAAGGCCATTACAAAGACAGAAAAGACCAAAGTGGATATCAAGAGACCCTGAAATTTGCTCTTAATCGTATTGCAGCTAAAGCAGCAGGAAGAAACAATGAAGTCAAGGTGCTGAACAGAAATTTTTGAAGGGCAGCTTGAGGAGACAAAGTGAAGTATTATGAAATATGCAAAACCAACAGTTAGAAAAGCAAAAAGGAAGAATACAGTCAGGATGTTTTAAACTGAAAGAACTGAATAAAAAATGCAAGCCTTGATTTGCAATACTGAAAAATTCTATAGGAAAATATTGGCTGATGTTGGAAGCATCCAGAGAAGACAAAAATACAAAGTCACTACCAAAGAGAACTAGTGAACATTTAACCATTCAAGAGGTGGCATATGATCAAGAACCATGTTATGTAAAGTATACTTGAAAAAAACCAAAGCTCTAGGAATTGACAACATGCCAATTGAGAGGTTTCAACTAGCTAATGAAGCACTGGAAGTACTCACTCACCTATAAGAAATTTGGAAGACAGTAATCAACAGAAAGCTCAATTATAAAATCTTATCATTGACATAACATGCAATCAAATTTAAATTTTGCTGAACATCATTCAACATTTGAAGCAGTACACAGCCAGTGAGCTACCAGAGGTCCAGGTTGGATTCGGAAGAGGACATGGAACAAGGGATAGCACTGCTAAAATCAGATAGATCGAGGCTGAAAGCAGAAAAAAACCAAAAAGCTGTTCACTTCAGCTTTGATATGCAAACGTTATGGTTGACTGTGTGAACCATAACCAACTGTGGAAATCCCTGAGAAGAATGGGAATTCCAGACACATTATTGTGCTTATGCACAACCTGTACAAGGTTTAAGAGGCAACTGTGCAAACAGGATGAGGGAATATCGCATAGTTTAAAATCAAGAAAGGTTGTGTGTCGGGGCTGTATCCTCTCACCATACTATTCAATCAGTATGGTGAGCAAATAATTAGAGAAGCTGCATGTTATGAAGAAGAAGGCAGCACCAGAACTAGAGGAAGGTTTATTAGCAACTGTGATATTCTGGACAACACTACCTCGCTTGCTAAAAGTGAGGACGATTTGAAGGACTTGCTGATGAAGAGCGAGGATGGCTACCTTCAGGAAGGATTACAACTGAACAGAAAGAAAGATCCTCACAACTGGACTGATAGTGAAGTACCAACTTGATAACCGGAGCAAGGACTGAAGTTGTCGTGGACTTCATCTTCCTTGGATCCACTATCACTGCTCATGGAGGCAGCAGTCAAGGGATGTGGAAACCAAGGATGTAACCTTGAGGACTAAAGTGCACCTGACCTAAACCGCTGTATTATTTTCAATCATCTTACATGCATGTGAAAAGTTGGACATTGAAGAAGCAACACTGAAGAAGAACCCGTGCATTTGAATGTCGGTGCCGACAACAAATACTAAAGTACCAGGGATGCCAAAAGAGCAAGCAGATGTCTTGGAAGTCAAGCATGGACGGCAAGACTCCGTCTCTCATTCTTTGGACATATTATCAGGAGACACCAATCCCTGGAGGGCATTAGGCTTGGTAGAGTAGACGGGTAGAGAAAAAGAAAAAGATCCCCAACAAGATGGACCAACATAGTGGCTGTGACGATGGGCTCCAATGTGAGGATGGTGCAGGCATGGGCAGGGTTTCGTTCTGTTGCACAGATAGCAGATATGGGTCGGAACCAACTTGATGGCACCTGACAACAATGCTAAGGCGTCCACTGACATCACTTCAATAAAGTAAATGAAAACGGTGATGAGACGCATGGTTTCCAAGGGGCAGAACAGTGTGCACAGAGCAGTATGCATGTACTTTTAAAAAACTTATGAGGAAGCTGATACCAAGGGCTCAAGTAGAAAGCAAATGTTTTTAGAATGATGATGGCACCAAATGGACAAATGTGCTTGACACAATGGGTGTATGTATGGATTGTGATAAGAGTTGTCCGAGACCCCAATAAAATGATTTGAAAAAAACAAACAAACACCTTATGAGGAGACGTTAACATTTGTTCTTCACCCGTCTGTCATCTTCCAAATTAAAAACAGTAACACTTGGTAGGTTCATGTTTATAGTTCTTTAAACACTGAAGACACTCACCCATAGTATTTTTTTCCTGAACTACTTTATGAGATAAAGTGACTGAGTACATCATTAACAAAGAATGCCACTGCCCACACCACTTTAAAGGTGAGTATGATAAACTATTAAAAAACAAAAGATAAAGCTATCAGCATTCTTAAAAGATACTGGAAACTTATTATAAACTGCACATGCTTCAATAATAAAAACTTAAAAATGAGTCATGGTAAACTATGCTCTCACCAGAATTCATAAGTTTCCACAGCTGGTCCACCAGGGCTTCATTGCATAAAGGAGACTCCATGTTCTTAGTAAAGGGGGGATTCTTAGTCAACATGTTCAGAATCTTATGCCTGAAAGATTAAAATATACATATATTATTCAATTTTTTGCTTACCATTAAATAAAACACTGGAAAATTGTCTATAGTTCCATCTCTGTATCTCACCATCTCTCCTCTTAGGTCTAGTGTTGTGTTTAAATTTGTTTGAAAAGTTGTTTAAATATGAAAACATTTTACTATTGTTCTGCTGTATAATTCAGGCAGGTTTGCTCTTTCTACAATCTCCTGGACAATGAGGTCCTCTAAAACCAGACTCTACAGAACAGCAGTGATTTCCCTGCTATTGCTCTTACAGCCACGGTCTTTATTACTCCCACCAAATACAGGTATGGAACCAAGCACTCTGGGTGGACAGAACTCGAATGTGCCATCCGTTGAGTGTTAGAGAGCCATCTCAGAAGCAGGAACATGGATTTCACTAACATTAAGAAACAAGTCATGAGCAGAGTGCATCCTTTGCACCCCAAGATTCCTGTTTGCGGAACCTCCTCAATCCATAGACAAGAGTAGTGACACCAGAAGAACAGCAGCAGAACCAAGAGCATGAGATAAGAGTGTGTGTGTGTGTGGGGGTCTTCCTAGTCCATAAAGTGGATTGTCTTTGAGTAGCAGGCTCACAGAGTCGGATGCCTGCAGCCATTTAATTAAGGAAAATAGGAATGCTGATCCACTGAGCTAAAGCTAAGCTCCTTTAGATATTTATCAGTAGCTCTAAAGTAGCTTTGAAATACTTGCCAGAGCAGGGCAGAGCCCAAGGGGTCAAGCAGCTGAGAAGTCAAGGGCCAGAGAAAGGAGAGCCTCTGGATACAACTTCTGATCAGAAGAACTGTAACTTACGCAGTAATATCCAAAATTATAACTTAACTTCCCTAATAAACCTCATAATCCTGAGTGTGGTCTGTGAGTTCTGTGTAGCCACTGCAATGAACTATCAAACCCAACAGAGAAGTACAGAGTGCTGTGAGAGGGATGGCTGGTATCAAAACTGTTAAACAAGAGTGGCGCGGGGAGGCCTGGCTGACCTCTGCCTCATAGAACTGACCTTGGACTGATGTTGACTTTGATTATCCCTCTCCCTCAGGAAGTCAGGGGTCAGATGTTGTCCCCACGCCATTTTTACACCAGCCTACCTTCATAACACTAACCAATCTTTCCCCTCTCGCTTCCTAAAATGAACAGTTGATGGTCTCTAGAAGAGTTTCGATAAAAGACTAGCTAATAAATCTAAAACTCTTAAATGGGACAAAAAAATATTACATCTAAGCCAAGAAGAAGCCTACATTTGGTATAATAAAGTGAACATAAACGTCATTATTGTAGAATCTTTAGAAAGGATGGAAATATACAGAAGCATTTTAAATACGAAGATTTGAAAAGGTTTCCTCAAAATCGGTTGCATGTTAAAAGTAACCCTACAGAGAGTGATGGCTAAGCCCTAACATCCCGACTCTCCAACCTTTGCCTTCCCAGAACTAAAAATTACCAAGGCATCTTGTTGGCAAGTTTGATTAATTTCTCAATTTCCCACTGAAACAAATAAAGAGCAGTAGTTGGAAAATATGGACTTGGTGATAAAAATGAAGCTGGTAAAATTCTGCAAAACTAAAGACTTGTTCATAGCAAATACCTTCTTTCCAACAACACAAACAGCAACTCTGCACATAAACTTTTCCTGATGGAGCACACAGAAATCAAATTGATTGACTACACCTGTGGAATGAGACAATGGAAAAACTCACTATGGGCACCTAAAACCAAGCCAGGGGCGGACTGTGGAACAGATCATCAATTGCTCCTATGTAAGTTCCGGATAAAGTTGAAGAAAAGTAAACAAATCCACAAGAGCTGAAATACGATCTTGAGTCTAACCCACTTGAAATTTCAGAGCATCTCAAGAACAGACTTGATACTCTGAACACGAAAACGACAGAAGACCTGAAGAGCTATGTAGGACATCACGACAATCATTCAAGAAAAAGCAAAGGATCATTCAAGACACAGGAGAGAAAGAGAGGGTCAAAGCGGATGTCAAAAGAGACTGAAACTTGCCCTTAGTCATAGAGCAGCTAAAGCAAATGGAAGGATGAAGGCAAAGAGCTAAATAGAAAATGTCAAAGGGAAGCTTCAAGAGACAAAGGCAAATTTCACAATGAAATGTGCAAAGACCTAGATTTAGAAAACCAAAAGGGGAAAATATCTTAAACTGAAAGAACTACAGAAAATCTTCAAGCCTTGAGTTGCAATCTTCAATGATTGTGCAGGAAGCATCAAGAGAACATGGAAAGAACACACAGTCATTGTGCCAAAAGAACTAGTCGACAGTCCACCACTTCCAGGGGTAGCATATGAGCAAGAACCAATGGTGCTGAAGAAGTTCAAACTGCACTGAATGCACTAGCCAAAAACAAAGCTCCAGGAGTTGATGGAATACCTATTGGTATGTTTCAATAAGCACTGGAAGCATTCATTCATCTGTGCCAGGAAATTTGGAAGACAACTACTTGGCCAACTGACTAGAAGAAATCCATTATTTGTGCCCATTCCAAAGAGAGGTGACCCAATGAATGCTCAAACTATAGAACAACATAACTGATATTAAGCCAGTAAAATTTTGTGGAAAATCATCCAACAAGAGTTGCAATAGTACAATGACAGGGTGCTGCCAGAGTTTCAGGCAGGACTCAGAATGAGGACATGAAACAAGGAGTCTCATTATTGCTGTCAGACAGATCCCGACTGAAAGCAGAGAATACCAGAAGGATGTTCCCTTGTGTTCTATTGACTATGGCAAGGTATTTGACTCCGTGGACCTTAACAAACTATGGATAAACTTGAGAAGAAAAGAGATTCCAGAATACTTCACTGTGCTCATGTGAACTTGTACATGGATCAAGAGGAAGGTGTGTGAAGGGAAGAATAATGCATGGTTTAAAATCAGGAAAGGTGTGCATCAGGGTTTTTATCTTCTCACCATACCTATCCAATCTGTGTGCTGAGCAACTAATCAGAGGAATGGGATTATATGAAGAAGAATGTGGCACCAGGATTGGAGGAAGGCTTATTACTAACAGAAGATATGCAGATAACACAACCTTGTTTACTGAAGTGAGGAGGACCTGAAGCATATTCTGATAAAGGTCAAGGACTACAGCCTTCAGCATGGATTACAATCCAATGTCAAGACCAAAATCCTCACCACTGGAGCAACAGGTAGCATCATGATGGAGAAACCGTTGATTCCACAATCAATGCTCATGGAAGCAGCAGCCAAGAGATCAAAGGATGAATTGCATTAGGTAAATGTGCTGCACATGACCTTTTTAGTGTACTGAAAAGAGAAGCAAGGATATTACTTTGAGGACTAAGGTGCACCTGATCCAAGCCATGGTATTTTCAATTGCCTCATATGCGTGTAAAAATTGGACACTGAATAAAGAAGACAGAAGGAGAATTGATGCATTGGAATTGTGGTGCTAGAGAAGAATATCGAAAGTACCATGGGCTACTCAAAGGACAATCCGATCTGTGTTGGAAGAAAAACAGCCAGAGTGCTCTTAGAGGTAAGGATGATGGGACTTTGTGTTACGTACTTTGCACATGTTGTAAGGAGAGCCATTCCCTGCAGAAAGACATACTGCATAAAGTGTAAGGGTGGTGAAGGAGGGGATGGCCCTCACGGAGATGGATGAACAGTGTCAGTCACAATGTGCTTAAGCATAGGAACAATTGTGAGGATGGCGCCGGGCTGGGCAGTATTTTGTTCCGTTGTGGAGACGGTCACTATAGGTTGGATCAAGCTTGATGCCAACTAACTTCAGCACCTACTAAAATCTGACTTGTCTTCTGAGAGGAACCTGTGCATGACATCAGGGTAATATGGTCAAAATTAGATTTGAAAGAAAAATAAAAGTTTACTTCTATGAGTAGGATGCAACATAAAAAGAAGATAAAAAGAGAAGGAAATAATCTGGCTTTCAATGATAAACATTATTAACATTTGCAAAATTTCTTTCCAAAGGCAGATCAAATAAAAATTTTAAAAGACACAAAGAAATGAGTAGCATATTCCCATATTTTCAAAAATAACAGACCAGTGCCCCATGTATATACTCTCCTCAAACTATTCACTTTAGGACTTGCCAAATCGAAACTTCATAGCATAAAAACTAACCTTACATATGGTACAGGATCAGTCTGAATCATATTCAGTAGCCATTGTAGCTCTTCATAACTCCTGTCCACTGAAAACAAAGAAATATATTTGCAGTTAATTATAACAAATTAAATAGAAAATAACAAACTTCAAGTATGGAGTTGATGCTTAATACCTAGGACTCGGTCTCAGCTAGATTTTCCATCGACTTGAAAGCTAACAGGCAAGTTTTTATATTTCTCACACGAGTCACTTTGTAAATTTTTGAACTCTGTGCTTATATGCATGAAGCCTTGGTGACATAGTTGGTTACATCTTTCTCTGCCAATCAACAAAGTCAGCAGTTCAAACCTACCCGCTGATCCAAGGAAGAGAGAGGAGTGAGGTTTTCTGCTCCTGTAAAGATTTACAGTCTCAAAAACCCACATGGGCAGTTCTCCTCTCTCGTATAGGGTTAATGAGTTGGAAATGATGGCAGACTGTGTACTTCTATGTAGCCAAGACATAAAACAGACCATCTATATGATTTACACCAAAGCTCAAATCAAGAGTGAACATCATAAAACTACTACCATAGAGTCAGTTCTGGCTCATAGCAACACTACACAATGTTTCCAAGGCTGTCATTCTTTATAGGAACACATAGTCTCATTTTTCTTCCATGTAGAATCTAGTGGGTTTGAACCATCAATCTTGGAGTTAAGGAATCCAACAGCACCACCAGGGTTCTATTACACAGACAGTAAACTGTTTCCCCCAAGTGGTTTCTTCCAGTTAAGACTAGATAGCAGTTTTAACTTTCCAATACAACATAAAAGGCAATCATAAAAATAGTGTTAGGAATATAAATGACATAAACAAGCTGACTCTTTAACTATGTCATTCACCTTTTCAACAAGTTTGGCTTTTATTTATTAGAAGGCTTTCCTTAACTCAGAATTTTATTTCTCCTTATTCTCCAATTCTTTCATTTTCTAATTTCAGCATCGGTATTTAAGCTTACTATTTAGTAAATAAACACAATTTAGTGTCAACTTGAAGTATAGGTGGAGTCTTGTCTGTCAATCAGGTCACAGCCTGATGGTGCCTCTTTGTGGGTGTGACCACCTTATAAGGAGGATCTTGGGAACTTCCCTCCACCCCACTCTCTCTCTCCTTCACCTTCCTGCTGGCAAGCCACAAGACCTGCCAGAGACCTGAGAGAACCCTGGAGATGCTTCCACTGCCATTGGATCTACAAGACTTTGCACCCGCCGGCCTGAGATCTTCCTGCATTCTGCATCATCACATGTGGATGCAAGAGTCTAAAGAGGGATTTATGGACTATTATCAGACTTATGGACTAATATCAGACTTAAGGGCTTAATCTGGACTGGGATGCTTGCTTGATATATACTTTTTGATATAAAGCTCTCTTACATATATGTAAGTGTCACTGAATTTGTTTCTCTAGTCAACCTGGCCAACACATTTGCTCAAATTGAGATGGAAGCACTTGCTAATAAAGATCAAAGACTGCAACCCTTCAACATGAATTACAACTCAATGTAAAGAAAACAAAAATCCTCACAACTGGACCAATAGGCAATTACTATCGTGATAAAGAGAGAGAGAAGACTCACATTGCCAAGGATTCCTTCTTGTTTGGATCCACAATCGATGCTTGTGGAAGCAGCATTTGATTTCTTAATCAAATGACATATTATACTGGGAAAATCTGCTGCACGAGACCAAAGATGCTGATGACCAACGATGTCCATTTGAGGATTAAGGTGCCTGACTCAACTATGGTATTTTCAGTCCCCTCATATGCATGTGACAGTTGGACACTGAACAAGAAAGATGGAAGAATTGGGGCATTTGATTGGCGGTGCTAGTGAAGACTACTGGAAGGGCCAGAGACTGCCAAGAGAGCAGCACACAAATCTGTCTTACAAGAAATACAATCAAATTTCTCCTTAGAAGTGAGGATGGTGTGACTTCTTCTCACGTACTTTGGACATGTTATCAGGAAAAACTAGTCCCAGAGAAAGGCATCATGCTTGGGAAAGTACAAGAGCAGCGAAAAAGAAGCCCTTGGAGAAGATGAAGTGCATGGCTGCAACAATGGGCTCAAACATAACAACAGGGAGGCAGGCATGGGACTGGGGAGTCTGCGGGGTCAGACTGACTCCGTTCCCTCAACAACACAACAGTTCAGCAAGTCTACAGTCGTGGAGTACATGTAAACACTACTCATTTTCATTATACTTGTTATTTTAGCATTCTTTTGTAAACCATAATATTCAGCATTCTATTTCATTTCAAGTAGTACTAGTTTATGAAGTCATTTGCATATTTATGAGAGAATGAACACCATCCACTGGAAAATGGTTGGGAAAAATGTCATGCTTAGAAGCTGTCAAGAAATATTAAAATTTCGAAGCAAACGAGAATCTGATATAAGATTACATTGTTTCTGTTGTATTCCAAATTAAAAAAAACTTTAATCACTATTTTTACTTTTTTTTTTAAACAAAGCCTATTTCAATCTTCAGTCAAATGGTAGAAGAAATGATTTTTTTTTCTGACCTTAAATATATGAAGCTTTAAAAAGTTTGTGGCAAAAGTGAAATTAAAATAGAAGTTTTCTGTAAATCTTTTATAATATTTCCACTGAAATTTACCCCCCAAAAATTGCTTTGCAGATAGATGTAGTTTTCTCTACTCAAACATTTTAAAATCAACTGGTATCAGGAAAGCTACATTAATGGAAAAGAAACACAGAATGGAAATGAGAATGCTAACATATTGAGAAAAACAAAACCATTATCCCAGCATAATTCATATTAACATTTGTTCAAAGGGAACCTATGTTGCTGTGTGAACTTTCACTTTAAATAGAATATATTTTTTACATCAAGTAAGCATGTATTTGTAAAGCATTACCTTTGGTGTAATCAACAACTGCTTCTAAAGCTGCTATTCGAATGTCCACAAAATGGCCATACTCAGCATAAGATTTAAAAAGGGTGGGGTCACTCGGCACATGTCCATTCTTCTGAAGCACCCTTATAGCTCGCAAACAGCTAGGGCAAAAAACAAAAGTAACTACTCCATTAGAGATGCAATAAAGTTCCAAAGAGCAGGTCAGTAGGGAAAAATGGAGGATGAACACATCAAACCACAAAATAGTAAATGATATCATTCCATGACTCCCAAATTAAATAATTATATAGCTACTACAGCCCAGGAAAGCCAAAGCACAATCTTAACTATCCCAGGCAGCATTACTCTCCCCTTGCACCTCCAGCTTCATCACTTCCAGATGGAGGTCAACAGTGCACAAACACTCAGAGGGTAGTTTTTTACTATTGACATAACCACATGATTGCGAAATCACTGAAATTCAGATGAATAGTTAAATACTTTTGTTCGAACATACAATCAAATTTGTTTCCTAAGCATTAGAGATTAATTTTGGCAGTATATTGAAAAATGTAAATTATTTAAAATTTTCAATTTTGTTAATACTAAATTATTACAATGGTCATAAAACTCAAAAGGTAATATCTTGAACATTTTAAAATAAAGCAAATTCCCCCAAAAAGAACAAAAATAAACTTAAAAAAAAAAAAGAAAAAGAAAATTCCAAAACTTATTTGGAAATTCAAAATTTCAAGTTTCATTATGTGCTTATAGTTATAAAAAACTCACTAGTAAAAAAAAATTTTTTTAACTCACTAGTAAATTTTATATACCATCAAATATGATTTTACTAAAGCATTTTCTTCAAAAGTTTGAGTATGGATGGTTTAGTACAAATAGATATGAAAGGTTAAAACTTGGTCAATGTTTAAATCAGTAAATTAAAAAAAAAATCAGTAAATCGCCTTTTAGCAAACACTGAAATAATTAGAACTTTTCGACAACTATATACAAAGACTATAGAAGCAAAAAAAATATTAAAAACAAAGTATGACAATATAGAAACTTTTACGTCTAGTAGAGTAGAAAACGATATACCATATATACTCATATATATGAGTTTTTCAGCATTTTATGCAGTTTTTGTGGTAAAATAGGGGCCTCGCCTGATATTTGGGTCGGCTTATACTAGAGTACATACGGTAGGTGTCAAGATAATGCTTTTGAAGAATTCAGATGATATGCAAAAACGTCTATGAAAATGCTGTTAGGTGCTAATGAGTCAGTTCTGACTCATGGAGATCCTACGTACAACACAACCAAACACTGCCCAGACCTACATGCACCATCCTCACAGTTCTGCTTATGTTTGAGCCCATTGTTGCAGCCACTGTGTCAATCCATCTTGTTCAGGATCTTCATTTTTGCTGCCCCTCTACTTTATCAAGCATAGGAACCTTTTCTGGAGACTGGTTTCTCCTGACACCAGGCCCAAAGTACATGAGACAAGGTCTTGCCATCCTTGCCTCGAAGATGCATTCTGGCCATACTTGCACCAAGACAGATCAGTTTGGCCTTTTAGCAGTCCATGGTCCTTTCAATATTCTTCTGCAGCACCATAATTCAAACACACAGATTCGTCTTCAGTCTTCGTATCAATATGTCCAACTTTCACATTGTATATGAGGCAATTTAACGATACCATGGCTTGGGACAGGCGCACCTTAGTTCTCAAAGCACAGCCTTGTATTTAAAAAAAACACACAAAATCAACTTTAAAGAGGTCCTATGCAGCAGATTTACCTAATGCTATGTTCTTTTGATGTGTTGACTACTGCTTCCATGAGCACTGATTGTGGATCCAAGCAAGGCAAAATCTTTGGCAATTTCAATCTTTACTCCATTTATCATGATGTTACCTATTTGTCCAGCTGTGAGGATTTTAGTCTCCTTGACATTGAGTTGTAATCCATACTGAAGGCTGCAATTCTTGATCTTCATCAACAAGTGCTTCAAGCCCTCATTTTCAGCAAGCAAAGTAAAGTCATCTGCACATCGAAGGTTGTTAATAAAACTTCCTTCAATCTTGATGCTGCATTCTTCCTATAACACAGCTCCTCTGAGGATTTGCTCGGCATACAGATTAAATAAAAATGGTTTATGACAACAGCATAAACAAAATGTTAACAGTTCAAAAGCTACACACACACCTATATATATATTATACTTACACAATATAGTCTCAATTAATTAAAACTTCAGCTAGCCACTAAGGGGAAAAAAACTAGACCCTTCTGTGAAATATGAACAATTTATGGGTGGCAAGTTTACACAAAAATTTCGCTTTCCCCTTTCATTACTACATTTCCCAAAAATTCTATACTAAAAGTCTCAGCGTCAACAAATTGATACTGGTTCATAGTAACCATAGGACAGGGTAGAATTGTCTCCCTAAGTTTCTAAGACTGATTCTTTTTTTTTTTTTAATCGTTTTATTAGGGGCTCATACAACTCTTATTACAATCCATACATACATCAATTGTATAAATCACATTTGTACATTCATTGCCTTCATCATTCTCAAAACATTTGCTCTCCACTTAAGCCCCCGGCATCAGGTCATTTTT